GCGACCAAACCGCCGAAAACAGTTAAAAAGACTATAATTTATTTATTCACTGGACAACAAATTTTAGTTTTTAATTGTATCTTGTGGTAAAAGTGCACTTCTTTGTTAATTTTGGGGCGCTGAATCCAAAAATGACAATGAAATAAAAAAATTAGTTGCGGTTTAGAAAAAAAACTTTTTATTTTTAAGGATATATTAAAAAAAGTAACAAGATTCATATACTTATAAGAATCACTATATGCGCTGTCTTTTTGCTGTACTTTTATGGATCGTTTCTGGAGCATCTCTACCAAGAGTCCAACAGTAGTCTGCAAGCATGGAAGGATTCCACTTTCCCTGGTACCTTTTTTCCATTGTTGAAATATCCTGATGAAAACGTTCGCCGTGCTCATCACTTACGGCTCCGCAATTGTCAGGAAAAAAGTCCAGGTGTGAGTGCAGGAAATGTATCTTAAGAGACATATTACAGGCCATCTTTTGATACGATGACAGCATATTTTTGACAAGGGTTTTATAGTTGTCAGCTTTTCTATTTCCCCAGAAATTAGTGACCACCAGACGGAAATCATTCCAAGCAGTTTTTTCAATACCTGTTAAAGTGTTTTCAAACTGTGTATCTTTCAAAATATTTTGAATCTGTGGCCAAACAAAAATACCATCTTTAACCTTTGCCTCACTTAGTCTTGGAAATTTCTGACGCAGGTATTGAAAAGCTGACCCATCTCTATCTAATGCCTTGACAAAGTTTTTCATTAGGCCCAACTTGATATGCAGTGGTGGTAATAAAATTTTTTTCGAATCTACTAATGGCATATGCATTGACCTGGCTCTAGGAATTGACGAACAGGCCAGTTTTGTCTGGTGTAATGAAGTGCCTTTGCCCGACTGTCCCATTCACACAAAAAACAGCAAAACTTTGTGTAGCCTAGCTGCAGCCCAAGTAAAAGTGCAACAACTTTCAAATCGCCACAAATACGCCATTGGTGCTCATCGTACTTCATATTGTCATATGATTCTTTCATGTGAACTGCATACCCTACAGGAAGAGATGGTAAAATATTTCCAATATGCAATAACACTGCCTTTAAACTCAATGTTGAACTGTCTATAAACAATCTCCATTCTTCTGGGTTATAGTTTATATTTAAAGCCGCCAGTAAGCCGTTAATGTTACTGCAGAAAACCAAGTTATTCTCCATATTGAAAAATGGTTTTAAGTCTTTGTGGTGTTTACGAAAAACACATACCGAAACATCGTCTTCTAACAAGTTCCACTGCTGCAGTCTTGATCCAAGTAACTCTGCCTTACATTTTGGAAGTTCTAAATCTCTTACAAGATCATATAATTCTAACTGACGAATCACTCGATCGCCATGATCTGATTCGCAAGTGTAGGATTCTGGGGGTTTTGGAATAGGATTTTCGTCACTGTGAGGCACAGGTCTCATCGCAAATGGTATGTTTGGGTAGTTAATAGCCGATTTTTTTTCTTGGACATACCTGTGGCTTGTCCAACACAAGGTATCATGCAAAAGTAACAATCATTAATATGATTTGTAGGCAGATGCGGGGTGCCCACTGTTTGTCTTGATCACCTAGTTTACAACCGAAATAAAGCTGATATGCCTTTGTTATTAATGGAGTAATAGACCGTCTCTGAGACGCAAAAGTCACATCACCACACACGTAACAAAACTGATCAGGATTGTTTACACACTTTCGAGATATCTTGCATGAGCGCTGTCAGCCAACTGAGGAAAAAATGGCTAATATAAAACAATATAATGTACACGTATGTATAACGTAACACAATCATGCCGATTACATCATCTTTCCTTGCCGAATATAAAAATGTAGCACCTGCATTCTTGTGAATTACAGTATATTAACACTGTCACAGCAGGAACACATTACCGTATCTCTAAAACTTGAACTAATATTGAAAAAATAAGTTTCATTCCGGTTTTAGCACATTAAAAATAGTAATATTTTGTTGATTTTATTTAGGATATTTTTTGGCTGTTGATCAGTGATTAATTCTATTCTACAGACCTAACGTAAATGAAATGATTTTGTGATTATTCAAATACATGGACCTTTTTTCCATCGTCATTTTGTCTTAAAAGCGCCATTACTTGAGATTTATTCCAAAAAAGTATTTTTGTCTAGGGTTTTTCTTTTGTGATTCTTCTATATTGTTCGTTTTCAAATATACGAGTACAAGATGATTCACCTTTTTCTGCTCTCCAGTTGAAATGATTAGTTACCACAGACATATCCAAAGAGACTAATTTCCAGAAAAATATACCTTTTAAGGCGGCTCCGACTCAGTGAGTTTCAAGCCATTTACAAGGGTTCAGCTGCTTCAAAACTGACACTCCATTTTTCAATATTTTTGAATGAAATTCATACAGTATGTTGAGAAGATAATTGCCCAGGGTGCTATAGGAGCACTTTTTGAAATTTTATTTTTGCACAAGTTTTATGATGGGTTGAAGTGCGGACATTTTCTGTTGAACTTCGCGATTTTTTTAAAAAGAACCTAGTGAAAAAAATGAAAAAGTGGTTCTATAGCACCTTGTGGGGTTTTGTTTTCAGCACTCTGTGAAAATTTCATCCAAAACTATCAAAAAATAAAGCGTCAATTTCGAAGCGCTCAAAACCTCTACAAATCGTATTTTGGACGAATTTTGTCTACTGTTTCGTGCTGCCAACCCAAGCGTTGCGGCGCAACGTACGGACTAAGAAAGGACGTATTCAGATAATTTGCTGGCCCTATTTCATATAATATCGCGTAGATAAGTCGTTCTGCAAATAGGTACTCATAATCGCGATTGCTGATACTCCTCGATTTCAAAGCCATTGGCGAGGAAGTATTGTAATCGCGAAAAATGGGAAATAACCGCTCGGATTTTTATGA